TAGCAGTTGGGATGCGACGGATATTATACTGTTTCCTGTATAGTTGGCGCAGGAGGTATGAGCACCCTATTTGAAGATATGTACATTTATCGACTCGTCCCAAGAGGATGGAACCTTTTATTCGCTCGAACAACTGGTTTGTAAGAATGAAGTACCGATGCATGTAGGGAAAATTCCTGAGTACCAATCCAAATTTCTGCCTCGCTCTCGCGGAAACATATCCTACTTGTTCACGGAAGTCACATGAGCATACATATTGCAATCCCAGATCTCTAATCGTAGGGCAGAGATTAAGTGATTTGTCATTAAGAACCAGGTCAATATGAGTCAAACTGCACTTGTTGGACATTGCACAACATTTGTCAGTAGAGCAAGATACTTTCCACTTTGAGTAGCAAGTTTCAAGCGCACGGAGGTCACGTTGGATCATGGTAATAGCAGCATTGGAGGCTTCCGGGCGGAAATTATATACGATTTTAATGTCATCGGCAAACATGTATTGTGTACCGGATTTTTCTCCGTCAGAGTTATCCTTGACATATTTTGAGAACACTAACGGCTCAAGGACACTTTCTTGTATCACATCAATGGTGACAGGTGTAGCATCAGACTTCGTGAAGTTGTACTACCTACGTTCGATTTGTAAAGTGTGACCTGAACTAAGAAAGTGGATGCTCACTGATCCAGTAGGACATCAATTTGGCTATCATCTTTTCATGAGACAACCCATCAAAGGCCTTGTGCATGTCGGGTTAAATTGGACTAGCCAACGTAGCAAGATCGTTCGAGGCCATTATATAGTAGAAAATTTTCAAGTGGCACGTAAGACAACAGAGGTTATCCAAGAATCCGTGTTGAGTTGTATATTAGCTTTCTTGATATTACAAATTCGGCAGTTTTAACTTTGGTATATCGCTCCACAATTTTTGTAAGTTAAATGTCTGACTTTCTGAGCGATTCTTTTTAGCTCCAAAACTGAGCCTTCTTTATGTCGCGGCACGACTATAGCTTCTTTCCACTGAGCTGGTACAATGCCGGTGTTCATGGACAGATTCAACATACTCAGCAATAGTAGGGGAATGTCATCTCCGCCCAATCTCGCAGCTACGAAGGATATTGTCTGGACCCCTGAAACGTGATAATTTTGTGCACCTGGTAAGTTTGTGTATATCTTTGAGCTGATCGACCGTGACTAGTGGCCGGACCATGCATAGGGGTTTCGGTATCCACGTTGAAGTAGGCGCAAAATATTGGTCAAATATTTACGCTAGTTTGCACAGGGTCTTTGCCTTCGATACGTTTGGTAGTTCTACGATTGTAAAGACTGATCAGTTCATGGTTTTTGAATCGACTATCGAGTGCCCGTTTTTCATCAGTGATTTATTTCGTGTGATAAGTCAGCTTCAACGATATAACCAAATTATGCTTTTGCATCGAGAAACAGTAGTTATGTTTTACAGTTTTAAAGAAACCCATTAGATAATCAAAAGTCATTCTTAGCGAACATATGTTTTCGATAATTCTTCATCAGGTTAGTACAAGTATGTACCAGTTACATCAGTTAAGCAGGCTTCTGGGGTCGTTAAAACTGGATAAACTCATTCTGTGGTATGCTGTACTTATTTTTTGCGTTTCGCAGTTCTTTTCGTGAAACACCCTTTACACGACCTGAGGAAAAGTGCCTGTGATTGCTAGGAGCCACTAGGTCATCCTACACACGCGTGATGTGCGTGCTCCTGGTTCATTTGGATTATTTCTCTATGTCTTCCTTCCATCTCTCAGCGTTGTCCCTGTACGCTCATTTGAACCGAATTTACCAGCCCTTCACAGTGATCCATCATACGTAGAAATATCTTCTACGATTAGAGGCTGCGCCATCACTAACCGTTTTCATTCGCATCCGTGATTAAGCGCAAGCGTTTAACTCAATCACATTGAGCCGATTGCCTTTCTCTGTGACATCATTCGATACAAAATTCTCGAGACAGGCCGAAAAGCCTAAGCTTATTCCGATCCAGTGTTTCTCAACACAGCTATGAAATAATCTGTGATCTGTCAATCTGTGTTCAGCGCTCTGTTCAGGTTGCAGTCACTCGCCATTCCTTGTGACCTTGTCAGCCAGTGCGGCTGCAAG